GTTTACTCAAAAAGCCTGAATATTGCTGAAATTGTGAATGGGTTTTCTAAGTCAACTCTTGGCTGAAGGGGGAAGAAAATTTGACAAAAGCAATCCAATCACACCAGGGTAGCTGTTCACTCTTCCTAGAAAGATGGAAGACTGTGGGGGAACTAAGTAAACACAGATAGGAAGAAAAAGAAAAACAAGAGTGGCAGGATTAGAAAGTTAGAATTTTTTCTAAATGAAGAATGCTTTCATCTGGAATCTTCACTGAAGACTGTTGGTGATGGAGTCTAAATGATACTTAGGGGTCACAGATAAAAGGACAGTAGTTTTTCAGTCATGTCTGACTCTTAGTGACCCCATTTGGGGTTTTCTTGGCAGAGGTACTGGAGCAGTTTGCCATTTCCCTCTCCAGCTCATTTTACAGATGAGGAAACTGAGGCAAACAAAGTTAAGTGACTTCCCCAGGGTCACTCAGCTAGTAAATGTCTGAGGCCAGATTTGAACTCATGAAGATGAGTCTTCCTGATTCTATACCCAGCAAGCTATCCATATCACCACTTCAGGAAATGGCTCATTTAAATTTTTAAAAATTGAGGGTGATTGGGGCAGCTAGGTGGTGTAGTAGATAGAGCTCTGGCTTGGAGTCAGGAGGACCTGAGTTCAAATACGGCCTCAGACACATGATGCTTACTAGCTGTGTGACCCTTGGCAAGTCACTTAACCCCAATTGCCTCACTGAAAAGCAAAAACAAACAAACAAGCAAAAAAAAAGAATGGAGTGATCCTCCACCTTCCCTAAATTGATTGTCCATTCTTTTCATTCTCTCACTTTTGATATTGAGCATCTTTATCAGTGCTCATCTTAAGTTGTACTACCTATATACTTATCATATGTCTTCCCTCTTCCAATATAATAAGGGCAGCTAGGTGGCTCAGTGGATAGAGCACCAGACCTGGAGTCAGGAAGACCTTATTTCAAGTCCAGCCTCAGACACTAGCCGGGTGACCCTGGGCAAGTCATTTGACCCTCTTTGCTCAGTTTCCTCATCTGCAAAATAAGCTGGAACAGGAAATGGCAAACACTCCAGTATCTTTGCCAAGGAAACCACAAATGGGGTTGTGGAGAGTCAACAACCATACCAGTATAATAAGACATGGTTGAAGGCAAAGAACTTTGTATTGCCTCTGAGACGTGCACCTAGCACAGTACCTTGGACATAGTAGGCTTTTTTCCTATTTAGTATTTTATTTTCCCCATTTGCATGTAAAAACAATTTTCAATACTAATTTAGAAAATTATGTTCCAAATTCTTTCATTCCCTCCCCTCACTGAGAAGGCAAGCAATTTGATATAGGTTGTACCTGTGTAGTCATGCAAAACATATTTCCATGTTAGTCATGTTGTAAAAGAAAATATAGACCAAAATAAAAACCCAAGAAAAATAAAGTGAAAAAAAAGTATGCTTCTCTATATTCAGATGGATAGCATTTTTCATCACAAGTCCTTCAGAGTTGTCTTGTATCGTTGTATTGCTGAGAATAGCTAAGTTGTTCACAGTTATCTTAAAATATTACTGTTAGACTGTGTATAATGTTCTCCTGGTTCTACTCATTTCACTTTGAATCAGTTCACCTAAGTCTTTTCAAGTTTTTCTAAGAGCATCTAGCTCAACATTTCTTATAGCACCATAGTATTCCATTACAATCATATACCATGACTTGTTCAGCCATTTCCCAAATGATGGGCATCCCCTCAATTTCCAATTCTTTGCCACCAGAAAAGAACTGCTATAGATATTATTGTACATGTAGGTCATTTTCTTTTTTTTTAATTTCTTTTTGGATACAGACCTACTAGTGGTATTGTTAGGTCAAAGGGTATGCATGGTTTTATAGGCCTTTGGGCATAGTTCCAAATTGTTCTACGGTATGGTTGAATCAATTCACAACTCCACCAACATTGCATTCCTACATTCCTACATCCAACATTGTCTCCGTTTTCCTACATCCCCTTCAACATTTGTCATTTTCCTTTTCTGTTCTATTAGGCATTCTGCTGCATGTGAGGTAGTACCTCAGAATTGTTTTAATTTGCATTTCTCTAATCAATAGTGATTTAGAACAATTTTTCACATGGCTATATTTAGCTTTAATTACTTCATCTGAAAACTGATTTCATATTTTTAAATCATTTATCCATTGGGGAATGGCTTTAATTTTTATTAATTTGACTCATTTCTCTGTTTGAGGTATGAGACCTTTGTCAAAGAAATTTGCTTGAAAATTTTTCACAGTTATGATTGCTAACTGTATTTCCCTCTATCCTACCCTCCCCTTCTGTTTCTTTTATTCTCTTTCTCCTTTTACCCTGTCTCTCCTCAAAAGTGTTTTGCTTCTAACTATCACCACCCCGATCTGCCCTCTATTCTATGAGCAACCTCCCCTTCCCTTCCCTTATCTACTTTCTCTCCTCCTTTCCTATAGGGTAAGATAGATTTCTATACCCTCCTTGAGCCAATTCTGATAAGAATAAGGTTCTTGTTCCCTGAAAACTCCCCTGTCTTTCCCTCCATTTTAAAAGCACTTTCTTGCCTCTTTTGTGTGAGATAATTTACACCATTCCACCTCCCCTTTTCCCTTTTTCCTAGTGCACTCTTGTTTCTTACCCCTTAATTTATTTTTTTAGATATCATCCCATCATATTCAACCCACACCTGTGTTCTCTCTATATATATACTCCTGCCCTAATAATGAAAAGTTCTTATGAGTTACACATATCATCTTCCCATGTAAGAATGTAATCAGTTTAACCTTATTAAGCCCTTATGATTTCCTTTTACTGTTTGCCTTTTTATGCTTCTCTTGAGTTTGTATTTGAAAGTCAAATTTTCTGTTCAACTCTGGTCTTTTCATCAAATAGAAAGTCTTCTGTTTCATTGACTGTTTATTTTTCCCACTGAAGGATTATATTCAGTTTTTTTTGGGGGGGGTAATGATTCTTGGTTGTAATCCTAGCTCTTTTGCCCTCTAGAATATCATATTCCAAGTCCTCCAATCTTTTAATGTAGAAGCTGCTAAATTTTGTGTTATTCTTGCTGTAGCTACATAATACTTGAATATTTTTTTCCTGGCTGTTTGAAATTCCCTCTCCTTGACCTGGGAGCTCTGAAAATTGGCTATAATATTCTTGGGAGTTTTTGTATTGGAATTTCTTTCAAGTGGTGATAAGTAGATTCTTTCCATTTCTATTTTACCTTCTGGTTCTAGAATATCAGGGCAATTATCCTTGATAATTTCTTGAAATATAATATCTAGGGTTTGTTTGTTTGTTTGTTTTGATGAGGGCTTTCAGGTAGTCCAATAATTTTTAAATTATCTCTCCTGGATCTATTTTCTAGGTCAGTTATTTTCACATTGTCTTCTCTCTCTCTGTCTCTCTCTGCCTCTCTGTCTCTCTGCCTCTCAGGCTCTCTCTCTTTTTCTCTCTCTCCTCTCTTTTCATTCTTTTGGTTTCATTTTATTGTTTCTTCATGTCTCATAGAGTCATTCCTCTGCCTTTAAGAAGCTCTTCCCTTGGTGAATTTTTGTATATCTTTTTCCATTTGGCCAATTCTGCTTTTTAACGTATTCTTCTCCCCATTGAATTTTTGTATCTCTTTTACCATTTGGCCTAGTCTGTTTCTAAGGTGTTATTATTTTCTTGAGTATTTTTTGTGCCTCCTTTACCAAGCTGTTGACTTTTTTTAAAAATAATTTTCTTTCATCATTCTCAGTTCTCTTCCCATTTTTTTCTACCTCTCTCAATTGATTTTTAAAATCCTTTTTGGGCTCTTCTGTGGCCTGAGACCAATTCATATTTTTCTTGGAGGTTTTAGTTGTAGGAATTTTAATTTTGTTGTTTTCTTCAGAGTATGTTTTTATCTTCTCTGTCAACATAGTAACTTTCTATGGTCAGATATTTTTTCTATTATTTTCTCATTTTACTATTTCTTGACTTTTAACTCTTTGTAAAGTGGGGCTCTGCTTCCAGGATGGAGGGCGCACTGTCCCAAGCTTCAGGGGTTTTGTGTAGCTGTTTTCAGAGGTACTTCTAGGGAACTGTAGGTTTTCAGTTCTTCCAAGGTGGTATGATCTAAGGAGAGGTGTGTTTACTCCTCTCCTGGCCTGTGCTCCGGTTTGTGAGTGCCCACAAACACTCTTTTTTTGACCTGGTACTATGATGAGGGTCTCTGCACCACTGTGGCCACAAGCTCTGGTGTGCTAGTGCTCCTCCTGGTCCTGGGATTGCCCCCAGGACTGAGACCAGGATCCAAATATGGGCAAAGCAACAGAGTCCTGCCCCAGTGCTAGCAAAGAGACCCCGATCTCCTTCTGACCCGTTGTTCTACCCCTTTACAATCTGTGGGCTGAGAGCTCTGGAAGCAGCCGCTCCTTTGCCTATTCAGCGTCTCCCAAGGCCTGCTCCTGGTTTGCTGGGGCTGAGCCTATGCTGGCATGACCTGAGCTGGACTGCACTCCTCTCTCACCCGGGTATAACAGACCTGTCCTGTCAACTTCTAAGTTATCTTGGGCTGGAAATTGTTTTCCCCCTGTCCTTTTGTGGGTTCTCCCACTCTAGAATTTGTTTTAAGGCATTATTTAAAGGTGTTCAGAGGAGTTTTGGGAGAGAGCTCAGGTGAGTCCCTGCCTTTTTTCCAACATCTTGGCTGTACCCCCTCACCCCCATAGTAGGTTTTAAATAATTGTTGGATTGAATTGTTAACATATAATGCCATAAGTATGTTCAACATATAATTTAATCCTTTAAATGAACATTGTAATGATAATTCACCCAAAGTTTTCAATAAAAAAAAAGGAAGAATGTCTTCTCTAATTATGGACTTAGAGGCTTCCAATTTATTTAAGTTCTGTATGCCATCTTGAACAGCTTATCCCTGTACAAAACATAAACCAATGCTTCTGAAATATTTAGAGGAATTCTTAATATTTTATCACTTTTCAGTAATAAAACCATGTTCTTTTCTCAGAATAAAAGCTTGAAAAACAAGCTGCTGTCAGGAAACAAGTTATGTGGAATCCATGCTGAAGAGGTGAGTGGCACCCTTCCCCTCCCAGCTTCAGGAGAAGCCTCCTCATAGCAGTGCCAAACATGTCAGCCTGACACCGCTCCAGCCCCGCTGGGTTTGGTGAGATCAGCCTATTATCGCTGAGTACAGTATGGGGACTTCTGAGATTTTTCCCACATCAATCCAGTGATCTTGAATGTGTCTCCTGCTAGGTTTCTCTGGTTTCATTCCAACTGACTGAGATATCAAAATCAATTTGAACATTCTCTCTGGAAGTTCCGTGAAACCAAAGGTGAATGGGAAACCTAATGGTGAAATCTTGGGAGTCCCAATTGATAATAATGTTTCCTTATGAACGGGTTCTCAAAGATTCAATTATTTCATTCTGGGAAACTTTTTTCTATATTATAATGATATGTACTAGGGATTCTAAAAGATTCTCCAACCCCACTCCCTAAGGACAACAGAGACTCTTTTTTTTATTTTAATTTTTAGACAATTGGGGTTAAGTGACTTGCCCAGGGTCACATAGCTAGTTAAGTATCAAGGGTTTGGTCTGAGACTGGATTTGAACTCAGGTCCTCCTGACTACAGGGCCAGTGCTCTATTCACTGTGCCACCTAGCTGCCACTTCAACAGAGATTCTTTCAGGGAGTCTATGAGATCAAAACAATTTTCATAACAGTACTAATAAATTTTAATTTCTAATATAGTAAATATCAATAGATATCAAAGTTCTCAATAATTAAGAGAAAAAAGGGGCCCTGAGACCAAAATTTTGATAATCAGCGATCAGTAGAAAGCCAAGACATTTGGATAGACAATAAAGAAGAAAAATCCTCCAGGTACTCACCACTGTCTTAACGTTTTGCCCTCAAGTTGACACAGTGTGTTTCTCTATGTATTTTTCTTTCCCTCACACAGGATCAAATTGTTTGTTTGCAAGTGAAATGAAACACCCATTCATTTATTTTTTTAAATGATATTTTATTTTTCCCCAGTTACAAGTAAAGACAATTTTTAACATTCATTTAAAAAAAAGAGTTCCACATTTTCTCTCTCCCTCAACTCCCTCCTCAGTGAGTTGGCAAAAAATTTGATATAGATTATACAAGTTCAGTCATGCAAAACGTATTACCATATTAGTGATGTTGTGAAAGAAGATACAGACCCAAAGGAAAGCCATTTTTACCAGTACCATTTAAAACCTTATTTTTCTCTTTGAAAAGCCTCTTTAATCCAACCATACATTTAAATAAACAAAAGCCCCAAGCTAGGGACTTAAGATGCCTAGTCTTGCACTTGCTATTACACTAAGTGGATGCATAAGAATGATTCTGAAATATTAGCTCAGCTTACATTTACATAGCAGTTGATCTTATATGATGCCTTCAATAACACTGTTGAGGCAGATATTGCAAGAAGTATTATTCCCATTTTACAGATAAGTAAGTCTTGGAGACATAAATTTATCTCTCCTAGATAACATGGCTAGCAAGTAACTGAGCCTGGAATTCAAGTCTTCTGACTCAGTCAATGCCTAGTGTTCTTTCCCATATGTGTGTGTATTTAAAGGTGTCCGGGTCAGTGAGAAGACATTTTGCACACCAGCCAAGAAAATATGAAGGTCATGAGGACAATGGTGGCATCCTTCATTATTCACAGTAAACAAACAGGCCCACAAAAGTACATGGTTGAAGGGAAAGTGGTGGTCTCTCAGTGCTGAGGCTTAACACTTGCTGAAAGGAGAGCCAAAAGGTAATGCCTTGGCTAAGCTTCCTGTCTAGATTATAACCATAATAACTAACTTCTTATAGCGCTTTATGATTTGCAAAGTACTTTACATGGATTACGTCTCTTGAGCCTCACAACAACCCCCAAGGTAGGTGGTATTGTTATACCCATTTTACAGGAGAGGAAACAGAGGCTGAGAGAGGATAGAACTTGCTCAGATTCACATAGCAAATAAGATTATCCTAATCGTTATTTCTTACTGCTGGCATTTGATCTGGAGAGAAGTTAATCAATCCTCTTTATGCTCTCTGAATGGCCTCAAAAATCATTTCACCTTTATTTAGGATTCATTCTTCTTCTCTGCAAAATGAGGGGATTGGACAAGATCATCTCTCTGATATCTCCAAATCAGAGATTCTTATGCTTTTTTTTGTGTTATGGAACCCTTTAGCAGTAGGCTGAAGCCTAAGGACCCCTTCTGAGAATGTTTTTAAATGCATAAAATAAAATACAAAGGGTTACAAAGGACACCAATTATATTAAAATGCAGCTATAAAATATATACATATATAATATATATATATTAATTTCAATTCAGTAAATATTTATTAAGCTCCTACTACGTGCCAGACATTGTGCTAAGTACTGGGGTTTGCAAATAAGAAAAAGAGACAGTACCTGCCCTCAAGGAGTTTACAGTTTAAAGGGGGAAGACGAAACACCAAAGATGGCTGGAAAGGGAAGGATATGGGATGAGGTGCATCATGGAATACTGGGCAAGGAGCATCTTGTTCTATAAAGTTGCAACAAGGCAGAGCTGCAGATGCAAAGTGGAATAAGTTGGAAATTCAATGCCTGCCCTTTATAAAGGAAGACTTTAGGAGGAGTTTGGTACCCCATCCTCTGACACTGAGGGACGTGGTGTCAATCAAGGCTTGAGTTAGCCTCATGGTGATGAGTTTATCCTGGAAGTGGACATCTTGTTACATGGAGATGAAACCAGGCAGCACTACAAATACAGAGTGCAGTATATATAATTATATATATTAAAGGGAAAACAATTAGTAGACCCCATGTCAAGAGTACTTATATAATAATAATGATGGTAATGATGATGATAATAAACAACTTTTATATAATGCTATATTCCTGTAACTGTGCTAAGCCCTTTACAATTTTTATCTTCTTTGATACTCACAAAACCTAGGAGGTAGATGTTATCATTATCTCCATTTTACAGATAAGGAAGTAGTGGCAAACAGAGCTTAAATGACTTGCCCAGGGTCTCACAGCTACTAAGTATCTGAGGTTGGATGTGAATTCAGGTCTTCCTCATTGTAGCTCCAACATTCTATCCTTTCAACTACCTAGCTGCCTAATAACTACCAAATTCTGCCCCCTCATCTCCCTCTCCAGTGAAGTCTAATGTCTGAAACTCCAAAAGCAATTAGCAAATTCATGAATTATCTTAGTCAAATAAACAAGTTAGTCTTTTATTTGTTTTCAGCTAACAAGCTGTGCTTTGATTACAAGCCATTGCTGAACCATTAATAAGTCAAATTGCATTTGAATTTTATAAATGTTTAGATTCCACACCAGGGAGCCTGGATCAGACATGACTGTCATACAGACATGCCTTTGATCCAGATGGGAGACATGATTTAGGTACTTGCATATTTAGCCTCAGCATTCAGGCTCAACAGCCATGGCATGAATTTGTTCAGTTGTACACCCTTATTCACATTCTTTTTTATTAGTGATGGCACTATTGCTGTTCCCCTGCAATTACAATCATTGAGTCAAAAGAAAAGGAAATTACTTGTCTGCTTTAAGGTTTAGATTGAGGAAATCTGTTCTGTGCAGTGTGTAGTAGGCAGAATTCTCTATTGTTCAGTATGGGGGCAGGTGGGGTATGTCATCATTGTGATAAAACAATTAGTGAAAATGTTGATAAATCAGAATTTTTCTCTTTGAGATGAAATGGCTAGATCACAAGAAAATAGCATGGACCAAGACTTTTTTTTTTTAACCTAAAACACTTTGAATTGGAGTTAGAACATATTCAGTCTAATCCTTCCACACCTCCATTTGTAGCTGTGATATTGTACCATGACCATTGATCTCTGGGATGATGACCTACAGACACAAAAAAGATCCTTCTGGATCTCTCATCTCCATTTGCACATGCAATCTTCCTACCCTGGAATGTAGCCCTTCCTCAATTCCATCTCTTAGCTGGTCCTTAAAGGCTCAGCCTAAGGGCTATCTCCCCTACTTGATTTCCTACATCTGCTCTCCAGACCACAGTGTGGATAGTTGACTGGGCCTGGAATCACCAATGATTGGGTTCCAATTATTCTTCAGACACTTACTATCTGTATAAATCAGGTCAAGACATTTAATTGCTGTCTGCCTCAGTCTCCTCATCTGTAAAATGGCATAATAATTGGTGTAAAGTAAAACTAAGTAATGTATAAAAGGTGTTTTCTACAATGATAGCACCTGCCTTCCAGGGTTGTTGTGAGGATAAAATAAGATCATAGTTCTAAAGCTTTTGCAACCTTGAAACTTTGAAAATTTTAAAGTGCTATACAAAGGGTAGCTATTTCATGTGTGTGTGTGTGTGTGTGTGTATACACACATATACATATGTGCACATGTATTATATATACATATATATGTACAACAGACACACACACACACACACACACACACATACACACACACAGGCATAGGAACTGGCTAGGTGGCCCAGGGGATAGAGCACTAAGCCTGAAGTCAGGAAGACCTGACTTAAAATCCAGCCTCAAACAATTACTAGCTGTGTGACCCTGGGCAAGTCATTTAACCTCTGTTTGCCTTAAGCCACTGAAGAAGGAAAGGACAAGAAAACCTTTGCCAAGAAAACCTCATGGATAGTATCGTTCATGGGGTCAAGACGAGTCCTATACAACTGAACAACAACAAATTTTACACACACATATACATTTATTTTATATTATGTGTATATATATTTACATTTACTTATTGTTTACCTCTAATATTAATGGAAGAAATGTGAGGGTAAGGACAATAATTTTTTGGCTTTCAGTATCTGGTGCACAGCACATTGTCTGACATATTTGAGTCAGCAGAATCTGGGTTCAAATTCTGCCTCAGATAATTGCCAGATGTGTGACCTTCTGCAAGTCACTTAACCTGTCTCATGCTAAGTTTCCTTATCTGTAAAATGGGCACAAAAATATTACCTACCTCCCAGGATTGTTTTGAAGAAAAATTCAATCACATAT